GTGTGCCACCACTCCCGGCAGGAGCACTTTTTTACATTTATTTTTTGGTAAATGCTGCCAGCAATAGCCGTCATGCTCCTTTAGAGAAGCAGGTAGCCAGAATCAGCCCCTAAACGGGGAGTCTCATGGTCCCAAGATCTTCCAACCCCTTTGTTTCTGTTACTGCCCCAAAATATGAAGAAGAACTCAAAAGCTTCTGAGGTTGAGAGAGCACGGGGTGAACGGTGCGGCACATGGAGGGAGCAAACGCGGCAGTAAGTGGGTGGATTAGCACTTGAGTCTGAAGGTCATTGTGGAGAAGCAGCGCTTAGCAGTTTATAAAGTCTTTAAAGAGACTGAGTATCTGGAGCAGGTCAAAGACTACGCGATGAGATGGAAAGGTCATGGAACCCGAAAAATTCTTTCAGATTGGGTTTCATTACTTGAAAAACGAGGTAAAAAAAATATGTACCTCTCCCACCTCATAGGGATGTGAGGATAAGCATGCTTAAACATTTGGGAAACTGGAAAATACCATGCAAAGACCACATCTTGCTATTATCTCCTGGTTTTGTTTGTGTGTGTTTTTTGTAGCGGGAATTGAACTCAGGACCTTGTGCTTGCTGGGCAGGCGCTTGTGCCTTTGAGCTATCCCCAGCCACATCTTACTGTTACTGCAGCTTACATATCAGAGCGTCAGGCAAGCAACTTCTCACCGTGCAGGGTGGTAAGAGGCTTTCTGAAGGCTCCCTTAGAACACAGAGATGGGCAATCCTGGATACCCGTATTTCTCTACTCCAGTAACACAACACGGCATCTACCTGGAAGAATCTACCTTAATTCCAACAAATACTCATCGAGCATCTTCTGTTTTCCAGGTGCTGTGCTAGGTTCTGGAGGGCAAGAAAAATGGAAATACCCACTACTGAAACTCACATTGACATTCTCATTTCCCATCTGATTGAAAAATCATATTTCCTTCCCTTTTTTGCATTCTTTTCCTTATTTTACCCCAATAAGCCCTAGACTTTGCTGAATAAGTAAATGAACATATGTCAAGTGAACCGTTTGATGAATAAATGATGAATCTCTCTTTGTGTTTTTTTTTGCCTCTTTTGAAACAGGGTCTCACTATGCATTTCGGGCTGGCCTTGAGCTCACTTTGTAGCTCAGGCTGGTCTCGAACTTACAACGATCCTCCTGCCTCAGCTCCCAAGGGCTGGGATTACAGGTGTGCGCTTTGTGGTCTGATATCTATATCATGTTCACCAGCCTTTTCTGGGTCATTCACAGGCACATTTTGCTTAAATAAGGGGAATGACCTGATCTGAGTAAGCAGGACTTGGGCAGCTAAGCTGGTAGCCCTGCCCGATCTCCGAGGCTACCAAATATTAGGACACAAGAGGCCAAGAAAAGCTTTCTTCAATGCCCCTAACTACTGTAGCAGATACCCTTTCTGGTTGGTTACTAATTTTCTACCTCCAGGAGGCTGCAGCCAGTAAGCACAGAGAGTTTTTTGTTTTTTGGTTTTTTTTTTTGGACAGGGTCGGCTATACGGTGCAGGCTGGCTTTGAACTCACTATGTTCACTATGTAGCCCAAGCTGGCCTCAAACTCATGGCGATCCAACTGCCTCAGCCTCCCAAGTGCTGGGATTACAGGTGTGCGCCACCATGCCTGGCTCACAACCTTTTGAGCGCTTGTGTCTCTCTCTCTATTTTCTTTTCTTTTTGGTCAAAGCCAAAATGTGAGCATGGCAGGAAGGAAGGCATTCCCAACTTCAGACGGGGGAAGCTTGACACAAACTGTCTAAATGAGTTGCTCAGGCTCATGTGTCAGCCAAGTGTTCTTTCTATGGGACCACTTGCTGCCAAGTACATAAACTAACAGTGTGGTCAAAAAACATATCTGTGGGAACTGATAGGGCCGTAGGAATAATACTATATCTCCTTTGCTAATGTCTACAAAATCCCAGCCTAAGAAAGTGACATCTTCATCAGGGTTGCTGTCCTCTGGCATTCCCAAGGCTACCAAGCTTTGGGGTATCTTTGTTTTTGTTCTGTGAGACAGGGTCTGTCTATGTAACTCAGGCTGGCCTTGGCCAAACGATCTTCCCGCCTTAGCCCTTAAATGCTCGGATTATAGACATGCTCCGCACAAAGTCTAGAAAAGGGGTCCTCAAGAGGCCTCAGCTGCCGTTCTTCCATAAGATCGAAAATCTTCCTGAAACAGAAAGCTCGGTTACAATAACTCCCAACGTATTTCCTATCTGGTATTTAAAGTCCATCTTCACTCTCAGATAATTCGACAAGAGTATAAAAATAACCAATTTTTAATTTTTATTTTATTTTTTTTTGTCTTTTTGAGACAGGGTTTCACTATGCAGTTCAGGTTGGCCTTGAACTCACTTTGTAGCCCAGGCTGGTCTTGAACTCGGAATGATCCTCCCTCCTCAGCCTCGCCCAGTTTTGTTTAAATTGTAAGATGCCAGTTATATGTGTCAAATAGGTGAGCGTAGGGTTTGACAAGCACAGTACTTGTCAGAGCTGATGTTACTAGAGGGAATACAGGTGGGGGGCAGGAAATAAATGTAAGTCTTGCGTCTCTCCTTGTCCTCTGAAGTAGGAAATAGTGAAGTAAATCAATGCAGAAGGGAAGATTGTGCAGGGAGGGAGAAATCAGCCCAGGGAAAGGTTTAGCAAACATTGTGTGTACAGAAGAAAGATCTTGGCCAAGACAGGAATGTGGCCTTTCTATGCTCCCAATAGCCCAGTATAAAAATAAATACACTTATTCAGAAATGAGCAGTTTTGAAGAGTTATAGATGAATCAGGCACAAGCTATAATCTGGTCTACTGCAGCTTCTATAATTACAGCTTCTATGGCACAAATCTTTCCGCAGCTCTATTCACATACCAAAGGACATTTCTTACTTTAGAAGAGAAAGGGAGCTGGCATTGAAGAGAACCTTACAGGTGAGTAGGAGGCTCCGCCCCTGCAATACAATAAACTCAATTTTCCTAACTTGGAAACTTATTGGCAATGTATGTGAGAACAAAATAGCCCAACGTTCAACTCTGCTGGATAGACGCAGACCACTGTTTCCTTGGAGGTACCTGACTTTGCGGTATTTGAAGTTTTACAGTTCCTGATTTGGAAATGTTAAGAGCTAGTTCTTTGGGTTTAGGTGGCGGAGTCGAAGCCCCTTGTTATTCAGGCAGATGTCCTGCAGAGGGAGCTAGAGAGCTGCCTGAGAAGAGAGTACACGCCTGAAAATTTGCCTTTGCTTCTGTTGCAGGTAAGGGTCTGTCTGCAATTGGAAAAACACATCTGAAATTTAGTAAAAATTAATGAACAAAGCTAGATTCTAGTATATTCTCTAGACAGTATAGGTTTTCAAAGTGCATGAGAAGTGTATAGAACTTGGTCGGTGTAAACACTGTTCTTTGTTAGGGGCCTATAGCATAGTTTAGGCACTGAACAATTAAACTTTTATTAAATATTCCCTGAGCTGATATTATGGAACAATATAGACAGTCTCAGACATCAAAAAGCTGTTGGAAGACTTTTCTGGTTATCTCTCTTAAGAAAGTAACTCAGGAGTGCTGGCACATGCCTGTAATCCCAGCACTGGGGAGGCTGAGGCAGGAGGATCACTGCAAGTTCAAGGCCAGCCTGAACTGCACAGTGAAACCCTGTCTCAGAAAGAAAGAAAAAAGAAAACAACTCAAAACACCAGGGAAAAAAGTTTTCCATAAAGATTGTTATCATAACATTACAATAAGTGAAAAAATGGAATTGTCTAAAAAATCTACTAATAAAAGAAAAAATTAAGAAAAACAGTATGGTATTTGGTAGACTATTGTTCTGCCACTCAACATTTCTCAGCATGAGGAATTATTATATTATGTAATATTAGTTAATAAAAACTAAGAAGAGAGAATATAAAGGTTAAATAATGTACAGAAGAATTACTTGATAGGCAAAGTCCAAAATGTCAACATTTACTATGTTGGGATGATAGTATAATGAAATATGTACATATGAAAATTTATTTATTTATTTATTGTGACAGGGATTGAACCCAGGCCTTCACACATGCTAAGGAAACACTTTACCACTGAGTAATTAGCCCTTGAAATTTTATTTTGAGACAGGGTCTCCCTGAATCGCATATGCTGAACTTGGACTTTTTTTTTTTTTTTTTGAACTTGATCTTTTGATCCTCTGGCTTTGTCCTCCTGAACAGCTGAGAGTACAGACCTGCACCACCACCCTGCCTCCACACCCATACATTGTCAGTAATAAGCATGGATAATTTCAATTTTTAAAACTCAGTGCATACAGATAAATTACTTAGCAAATAGCAATTAAATATTAAATTAACCACAAAGAAACAAAAATCACTGAGATTCAATTTGCAAGTCAAACTGTTGTCATTACCTTCATTCGGGGTTCTCTTTCCCTATCGTGTTTTGGCATTCTTCATTTCTTTGTAATATCAGTGATTTTCAATTAAGAGAACAAAAAACTAGAGATAACAGAAATTAGGTTCCCTACCAGACATTTGGAAATGTTTGGAGAAATTTTTTGGTTATCAAAGTTTGGACAGGGGGATATGATTTGTTGCTACTGACATTTAGTGGGTAAAGGCCAGGGATACTACTAAACATTCTACAACGCATAGGGCAGCCTCTCACAAAAGGATTATCCAATCCCAAATGTCAGTAGTGCTGAGGTTGAGAAACTCTAGTCTACATTTTCATATAATATTATCAGGCTTCTGCCGGAAGAGCTTCCTTTAGCATTTCTTTAGTGCAGGTCTGCCATGGACAATTCTCACAGTCTGCTGTTCTTCAAAAAGCATTATTCTTTTACTTTTAAAAGGATATTTTTGTTCAATATAGAATCCTGGCCTGATGTTTTACTTTGGGACTTTAAAGATGTTGCGTTAGGGCAGTCATGGCAAACTTTTAAGAGACCAAGTGCCCAAACGGCAACCCAAAACCCACTTATTTATTGCAAAGTGACAACACTGCAATTACCTGAACACTGAGGTTCTAGGTTAGGAAAAAACAACGTGAACATTAGCATCTTTTGCCTTGAAAGAAAAGCACAATAATAAGCAGGCCATGGGTTCTCACCACCACTGCTCTAGGGGTTAGGGGTATAGCTCAGTAGTAAAGCACTTACATAGCAGGCAAGAAACCCTGTATTTGGTCCCCCAGCAACTGGAACCAAAAAAAAGAAAAAGAAAAAGAAAGATTCTCAATCTTGCTTGCATATTTAGTTTTCATTTCAGAACATAATGCATCTTTTTATTCTCTGTCTTCATTTAAGTTTTTCTCTTAATGGTTTTTATTGTCTTATGATGTGTATTCTATATGTTTCTCTTGTCTGGAATTGATTGAATGCCTTAAGTTGTGATTTTATGGCTTTCACATGTTTTGAAAATTTTAACTGTTATCTCTTCAAATATATTTTCTGCCTGCACCCTTTTTGTGATACTCCCATTATACGTATGTTAGACCATGTTATGTTATTCCATGGATCACTAAGATCCTGTTAATATTTTTAGCCTTTTTTTCTCCTTTGTGTCTCATTTTATATCATTTCAATTGCTGTGTCTTCAAGTTTACCAGTTTTTCTTATGCAATGTCTGATATGCTTTTAATATCACTCAGTTTCTTATTTCAGGTATTATGTTTTTCATTTCTGGAATTCCACTTGATTCTTTTTGGTCTTTTCCATCTCACCATTATTCTCACATTTTCCTTTCAGTCCTCAAGCAAGCTGTAGATATTTATAATAGTTCTCTAAATGTTCTTATTTGCTAATTTCTTTATCCCTGTCATTTCTGTGTCCCTTCCCCATTACTACTTTTGCTTCTGGTTCATGGATCATATTTTCCTGGTCTTTTGCATGTTTAATACTTTTTAACTAATACTGCAAACTGTCAATTTTTCATATTGAATGCCAGATTTTTTTGTATTCTTTAGAGAGTTGCATTTTATTCTAGCAGGCTTTTGACTTACACCTCAACTTAATCCTTTCAAGCCTTGTTTTTAAACGTCATTAGAGTGAGTTTAGAATTATCTTTATGCTAGGCATAGTTTGTCCTTATTACTGAAGCCCTAGGTGTCATGGCTGACTGTCCCAGGAATTCCATGAAGATTCATCACGATGGCCAATTGGAACTTGAACATTTCCCAGCCCTGTGAGAACTCTGAGAACTCTTTATTTTACAATGCCCCACTGAGGTTCTTTACACAACCTCCTGGAGCTTTACCTTCCTGCATACCTAGCTCGGTAGTATTCAACAACAGGCTCAAAAAGAATCTTGATGCATATTTCAGAAGTCTGTCTCTGGTACTCTACCCCATAAACCTTAGCTGGCTTCTCTTCCCAAACTTCCAATTCTCTCCTTCACCTACAGAGATCACCTACCCTTTCTTGCGCCCTGGCTCACAAATTTCACAGGGATAGTAGGGCTTACATGACTAGTTTCCCTTCTCCCAGGGACCATAGCCCTGCATTATCAGTGGCAAAAAACGAAACAAAGCAGCTGCCTTATATATTTTACCTATTTTTCTACTTATTTATAATGGAAGGCAATGATGGAACTAGTTATTCCATCACAGTATTTTTATTATCCGAAGGAAAATGTTTAAAAAGGTTTTGTTGGCTTTGTATTTTTTTGTTTCTGTTTTTTGTTTGTTTGGCAGTACTGGAGCCTCTCCAGTCCTTTTCATTCTATCTTGAAATAGGGTCTCACAAAGTCACCCAGGCTTTCCTCAAACTTGTGATCTTCCTTCCTGCCTCAGCCTCCTAAGTAGCTGAGATTACAGATGTGTATCACCATGTGTAGCAAGAGAGCTCATTTTTAAGTATAAACAAAACTTCTGAGTTGAAGATAAAAGCTAGAATTTTACCTGTAATGTACCTTGTATTTTTGACACATAATTTCATTTTTTGATATGAAATGTAAGCTCGACATTAGGTAATTTGTCAGACCTTAATATCCCTGCTAAAACTGCTTAGTAACTAATAAATGAGCTATCATCTATCAACCTGGCAACAGAGCTTAAGGATTTAGGACTATCTACTCGGTTCATTTACATCTGAATGGTATTTTGAGTCAGATTTCTTAACTTTATGGTCTTCATGTAGAAAAATGTATTTTCCAAAGTAGTCAGATATTGATTTACTTATGGTTAGTAATTCAGTTTTCTTGCTATAATTGTATTCTCTAAGTGCTTATTTTTGTTGTTTGTAAAGTACTACACAGAGAGAATTACCCAGCTGGTCCAGAGTAAATATTTACACATGCTCAGGTGGAAGAGGTTTTGCCGGCACAGTGCGACCATGGAGCAGCTTTATCCTCTTTATAAGGTAGGAAGCCCAAACACAGGACCTGGGGGATATTTTTTACAATGAAACAAAGTGGTCAATAAGCATCTCAATTTTTTAAAAAGTCACAGCTAAAGTTAAAAAAGGCCGTGCTTGGTGGCACACACCTGTAACCCCAGCACTCAGGAGGCTGAGGCTTGAGGATCACTGTGAGTTTGAGGTCAGCCTAGATTACATAAGCAAGTTCAAGACCAGCCTGAACTCCATAGTGAGACCCTGTCTCAAAAAAAAAAAAAAAAAAAAAAAAAGAGTTAGGAAAGGAACTAAGGAGTGTACCTTTTTGCCTGTTCTGCCGCTGGCAGAAGGTAAAGATTCCTATTTTTATGAGTGAGATTTGAAGGGAGTTTTATACGATAGTACATACATTTTTTTATAGACTTGAACTGCTCTGCTATGTGTAAAGCTCAGAGCCTGAGTCCAGTTACTATACATCCTCATGCACTGACTGTTGGGAATCTTTCTCTTCAAAGTCCTAAGAATCTCACATTGCCCTTGTCAATCAAATTCAGAATGTGGAAGAACTTTGAGATTCCAAGAGCCCTTTTTTGACTCCGGAAGAGCGTTCTCCTATGCTTGGAAGCAAAAATACAGAGGACAGGCTCACACGGAGCCTTGCTGTCTTTGTATCTCTCACAAACAGAAACAAGTTACCTACATCATGCAAGAGTATAACGATGCTGTTCAGCGCGCTGAAAGGTTGTCAGCTGCTCGAGAAAACTTCCTCATGGGAAGAAACAATCCTCCTAACCTGGTGACACAAGAAGACCTGACTATTTACACAAAGTGGCTAGTGTGTCACCTGCACTCCCTCAGGACCGTGCATCACTATCTGCGGGTATGTGACAGTCATGTGGCGATGGGATCCTCTCCCACGAACAGTCAGTGGGTTGTTATCTCACATCACCTAGCTTTGGGTCGTCACTGTTTGTGTTCTCCATCTGCCTTAAAGAAATGACAGGAGTCACTCGATTGTTTTTTGAAACCTTGCTCTTTCAGTAAATGTGGCTTCCTCAAAGATGACTGTGATGTACTACTTTGTATTTTCTCTGTAAGTTCTTGTCTTCACCATCTTGTTCAAGATTTTTGCCCTCCAATTTAGATATTTTTTGTTCAGTAATATTTAAGGAAGGTCTGGTATGTGCCGGGTGCTTGTCTGTGGACGAGATTGCATCCCAGGAACAAGATGGACAAGTAATTTCTCAACTGCAGTGCAGTGGGAGAAGAAAGAGTACACCACGCCTAGCACAGGGGAAAGACTGTCACAGGGGAGAGGGCCCAGCTCCAGCTACTGGCATCACAGAGAAATCTCATAGTCACATTTCCATTTTAGAAAGATTGGGCAGGTTCCTGAGGAGGTTCTGCCTCTACCTCTCTTCCCTGTCAAGGCAAAGGGCTGCTCCTGAGTTTAAGTTTGGAGGCTTCTGTGAGAATGAGGTTGACCTGGGACCTCTTGGCTGTGCCTTTTCATAGGCGCTCCAGTATTTGCCAATCTCCAAAGTGCTGAATCTAGACAACCCCCAAGCCCCTGAGGCTGGTCAGAAAAAAGAAAAGGTCTGCGTCAGTGACCTTGACCCTGACATCCAGGATTCCGCCTCTCCTGGCTCTATGGACACCAGCATTTCAGGTAAGAAATTAGTTTTCTTTCCCTGGGGTAATATGGAGAAAAGAAGATTGTGTTATTTTGCCCCAAGATCTCGCTAAAATTTTTAATGCACCAAAAAGGTACATCTTTTTAATAACTTTTATGTACCAAAAAATTACATATTTTTAATTTAATATTTGGTGATAAGAAAATGTGTCACTCATTTCCCCTAAGGGGAATGTCTAAACATTTTTACCTTTATTTTTTCTAATAAATGAAAGAAAGAGAAAAAAATGGACTTGAATCCAGGAGTCCTGGGTTCTAGGTCTGTTCCTGTCATGGCCTCATTTGACCCTGCATTGCATCTCCTTGTGCCTTAGTTTACTCATCTCTGTAATAACCCTTTCAGGTTCAGTGGTTTCTAAGGTTCGTTCCAGTTGTTTTGTGTGTGTGTGTGTGTGTGTGTGTGTGTGTGTGTGTGTTTGAGACAGGGTCTCGCTATGTAGTTTAGGCTGGGCTTGAGCTCACTTTGTAGCCCAGGCTGGTCTCAAACTCACAATAATCCTCCTGCCTCAGCCTCTGGAGTGCTGGGATTGCAAGCGTGTGTCACCATGCCAGCTCAAGTTTTAATATTACACAATTCTAAAAGAACTTCCTCACCAGAAACAATTTAGTACAGTCTTCCTGTCCTTGTGTTATGGATGGTGAATTAATTTGATCAGGTTTCTAATCTGAGTAACATTCTTGCTCAGGGTATATATAGAGGGTCACAGGAGTGCCAGAGAGAGGTGACCAGCTCCCGCTGTGGGGATCCAGGGATGCTTCTCAAAGGAAGGGAGTCTAAACTGGATCCTTAGAGTTGAATGGGAGTTAGCCAGGTGATAGCTCTCACCCTTAAATTGGTTGGTTAATTTATAAATGATATAATTCATTTATCATGATGGTCTATAGATAGGTCTGCTCCCACTAACTCATCCCAAGTGTCTGTGGGGCTTCTCCTGAGAAGCCCTTCCCACCCCCTGAAGAAACATAGCTCCAAGGACTTGTCAGGTACACCTGACCAAATATGGTGCAAATGACAAATTATGGCAGGGAAGGTTGGGCAAGGAGTAGCATGGCCCTTCCATCAGCAGAGGAGGGCCTACCTCCCGCTCTCTCAAAGGTCCCTCTGCCTTCTCTCTGCCTGACTGATGTCCATTGGTCTTCATGAAATTGATTCTGGATTTTTTCAGGGCCAGTGGGCACGGATTCTGCTTCCATCCTTCCCAAACACCTAACAGAAGCGGAAGACCTGAAACCTCAGCTGAAGCACTTACTTTCCCACTTCCAAATCCTGTACGACGTGCAGGAGCTAAGGGGCTCTGCGAAGGAAATGGAACTTTTTTCACTGGTATTTGATGCATTATTCTTCACACAAATATAGGCATTCATGGAAGAAAACATTACTATTTGCTGCAAAGTTTCATATTTGTACTGCCAACGACTATTTCTAGAGTTATAAGATTAAACAGTACTAGGTGATATTTGGATTTGCAGTTAGGAAGAACTTCCTTTCCGTAAGAGTAATGAGAATCTTCAATGTGACAAACCCAGAAGTGTATTTATTTTGCTGCAAAACTTCAAGAAAAAGCCACGGTATAGTAGTAGATGATATAAATGTAGCAAAAATTTGGCAAATTTGCATGGCAGAGTTGCACACGATCTAAAAGCCCTTCAGTTCGCAGAATGTGTTGAAGTATTCTCCTTACTAGCAAAATATTTTATATTCAATAAAGTATACATTGTACAGTAATGTTGAGAGTCATGCAGTCTTCTCAGCTATAACACAGTTATGTTTCCTTAAAAAGAAACTCGTACTACTAAAAGCTGTGCTATGGCTTGTTTCAAAGGTTAAAATACGGCAAGGGGTAGAGAGCATCAGGTTTATGGTAACCTTTTTTCAGCATAGGTTGCAACTATGGAGATATTATTCTAGGTCTAGTTGTATATTATTTGCAAGTATATATATTTGCTAGACAAAAAGTAATGAATTGATCTAAACAGGCAGCAATCAAATCTGAATGTTTTAAAAATGTTCTTCACTTAAGCAGCCGCTTTCTACAGCACTCACCTAGCGCACACAAGGTACTGGGTTTAACCCCAGTACTGAAAAAACAGTACCCACTTTCTCTGCTAGCAGCTTTTGCTTGACCTTGAGGTTTCATCTGCATTTGTGTTTATTCCATCCTCATTTTGCCAGGATTATTAGCACTGAACACAGACTCTGTGCTCGCTGGAACCGATGCTCTCACAGTCCTCTGATTTCTTAGAAGAGGATGATCTTTAGCTTTGCCTTTCTTCTCACGTCACCAGCAATATCCTTAGACAGCGCTTCCATGGGAGGCTTTTCCTTATTGGCACCAAGTAGTAGGTCAGCAAAACATACACTGGAATAAGATAATGTTCTAAAAGAACCAAAATATGCTAGGTATGATTGTGCTTGTTTGTAATCTCAGCTGGTTGGGAGACAGAGGCAAGAGGATCATAAGTTTTGAGACCCTGTCTCAATATAAAATAAAGTTTTGAGACCCTGTTTTAAAATGAAGTAAGAAAGGCTGAGGATGTAGTTCAGTGGTAGAGTGGTTGCCTACAAGGCATAAGGCCCTGGGTTTGAAGCCTTTAAAATACACACACACATACACACACACACACACACACCCCGAACTAAGTAAAAATAAATTATAGCATAGTGGACTATTCTCAACAATAAACAAAAGGACATGAGACCAGCTGAACACTCCAACAAAGCACCCTTGTTCCAAATGCCAACTTGTATCCTTTATATGGATGGTGATAGTTTTCCAGTTTTGATTTGTTTTTCTTTTTGAGACAGGATCTCTCTTTGTAGTCCAGGCTGACCTGGAACCTCCTGAGTGCTGGATTACAGGCATACACCACCAGGGCCGGGAAGATTTTCTTATACCGGTGTGATGTGAAATGTTAATTATGCTCCCAAGATGATCAGTGACAACAAAATGTTTGTGTAGGAAGAGTTCCTTTATTTAGGTATTGTTTATTCTGGTACTCAGATGCCTTAGAGCAGAGTCAACAATCTACAGCCTGCAGCTGAATATTTGTTTTATTGGAGTACAGTGCTCTTAGCCCTCTCAAAGTGCTATGACCAAAAGACCATAAGCTGGGTGGCTTATAAACAGTGAAACTCATCTTCATCACGGTGGAGACAGAGAAGTCCAAGATTAGGGCAAATCCAGGGCCCAGAGAAGGCCTGCTTTCCGGCTTATAGTAGGTTAGCATCTCAGCACACGGATTTTGTGGGAATACAAATATTCAGACCATAACAACACCATGTCTATTAATGCACTGTTGTCTGTGGCTGCTTTCACACTGTAATGACAGACCTGAGTAGTTGCAGTAAGAACCTTGTGGATCTGTAAAGTCTAAAATACTTGCTATCTGGCCCTTTAAGTAAAACTTTGCAGCGCAGACCTAGAGCAGGGGTCTTACTGAACACCAGCAGTGATGGACGTGTTCTGCACTTGCAAAACAGGATGCTAAGCACCGGGCACCTCCAGCTACTGCAGACTTGAAATGTGGCTGGTGCAGTGGAGAGAATAGATGTTCGCGTTTATTTACTTATAAGTGAGTAATTAAATGTTACACAGTTCAGCTGTCCAGCTCACGAACTTGCTCATTCATTTTAGAAAACTTTGTTGGGTCTTTGGTATGTGCCAGCACTGTGGCAGGTTCTTTGTGTGCTTGTACGTGCACATGGGCATACATGCGTAGTAAAATGCACAGAACATAAAATCTGTCATTTTAATCATCGGCGTTCAGAGCATTCACACTGCCGTGCAGCCATCACCATGTAGTAGGGGGATCACGAGGCAGTGTGGCCACTGTTGGCAGCCTTGCCGCAGTGCTGGGGCCCACTCTGGGGAAGGGAGGAAGAAGTGCTCCGCATTTCAGTAGTAGAAAGTTGGGCTGTGGAAAGCATTTGTAGCTTTAGTCTGAAAATGAGATGTGAAGTGAATGAAATAAGTTACCTTTAAAAGTTTTAATACATCTGATTTTTTTTTGCTTTTCGAGACAGGGTTTTACTGTGCAGTTCACGCTGGCCTTGAGCTCACTCTGTAGCCCAGTCTGGTCTTGAACTTGCAAAGATCTTCCTGCCTCAGCCTCCCAAGCGCTGGGATTACAGGCATGTGCCACCATGCACCGCTAATCTGGATTCACTTCTTTTGTCTGACAACATACCCATCCAGCTTCTGAGAGGAGAATTTATTTAATACTTAGGTTTTCCATTTTGCCAGGTAGTCAGAAAAAGTGAATACATGTTCAGAGGTGAACAGTTTACTTTCTATTTATATTTAAGATCCACCTCAAAGTACATATAAATACTGCCTCTTTTTTTTGTACAGGGAATCGAACTCAGGACCTTGCGTTTGCCAGGCAGGCATTTGTGCCACTGAGCTATATTCCCAGCCCCAAAATACATATAGATAAACATGTTCATAGATTTTCAGTCTTGGAGAACAGACGTTCAGAATAAGTAGCCCAGGCACGGTTATGGCAATCAGCCGACTGAGAGCCTGGTCACATAGGTGCATTTGTCATGTAAGGTTCTATTCCTTCCATAGGGCCCTATTTTATGACTTAATTTGATTCCAGTGCTATTTCAAACACAATCAGTAGCTATTTTTGAATTTTCTATAATCTGAGACTTTTCTGGACTCCATTTCCTCCTTCTTAATCTAATTCTGTTTAGGTTTCCCCAAGCTTTCAAAGCATCTTCGTGGAGCAGCAGCAAATGCAAACGTTTCTGGACTATGAAGCCGGGGCCACTAAAGCAGAGAATTTGGGTTTGTCTGGACCTGCTAGGACCTTGAAAAAGCGAGCCAACTGGATTCCTTTTATAAAGGTCAGGGGGCCTGTGGTGACATTTGCCTGTCAGTGGTGTCAGCAGCATTACACAGTTGTCTGACCAGGAGAGACAATCTGCGGCAGCAGCTCTGTTGGTCCTTGTTGTCCTACATCCTCAGAGGCCTCAATCAGTGGTCCTCTAAGACCAAGAAGAGGCTCCTTCCTGTCCTCAGGAGAGACCAGACTTCACATACAAGGACTTCACCTTTGTTCTGTGCTGAAGTCAGCCATGCTGATCCATGGGGGTTCCCAGATTCCTGTAGGCCACTCTACTGGCCCAAACTCCCTTCTCATTGTGAATGATCTCAGATACTTGCCAAGGGCAAAGAATAATACCCAGAAGTGTACCTGACTTGTGTAAACTCAACTTTTTTTTTTTTTTTTTTTTTTTTTTTGAGACAGGTCTCGCTGTGCAGTTCAGGCTGGCCTTGCGCTCACTTTGTAGCCCAGGCTGGTCGTGAACTCTCAACGATCCTCCTGCCTCAGCCTCCCAAGTGCTGGGATTACAGTGCTGGATTACAGCACTGGGATTACAGCGGCTAAACTCAACTTTTTAGTTAAAAACTAATCATTGAACCAGGCGTGGTGGCGCATGCCTGTAATCCCAGCACTCAGGAGGCTGAGGCAGGAGGATCGTTGAGAGTTCAAGACCAGCCTAAGCTACAAAGTGAGCTCAAGGCCAGCCTGAACTGCACAGCGAGACCTGTCTCAAAAAAACAAAAAATAAAATAAAATAAAAATAAAAACTAATCATGGGTATGCACGATGGCAGGCACTATCACTGGAGCTACCCATGCACAATTCACGCGCAGCATATAAGTAAGAAGGTCAAATAAGATGGTTTTAGGTCATCCTAAGTACAGTCAATTCCCATTCAAGGAAGTCGTGTTCTAGAAAGTCACAGGAACACTGATTGGGCAGATACAGAGTCTTTAGTTGTAGGTGAAAGACAAGCTTAAGATCCTGTCAGTCTTGGTCACAATACTGACCAATCCTTGCTCTGCGTGCTTCTGTTTAAAGCATATTATTTAATGTACCCTGCTACCCACTGACATAGACAACTCATGGCCAGGATCACCGTGACCCATGTGTGGATGAAGCTTCACTTTCTGTGGAAGGCGTGTCACTGCCTTGCTGTGCTTAAAAACACAACACGTTGGAACTCTGCTTAGGGAACCTTTTCAATGATGAAATCACAAAATCTATGAAAATGTGGCTCTAAGTAGACCCCCAAAAGGATCCTTGTTTCTTATCCTTTAAAATAAGAAAGAGGGAGAATACTGCTGGGTTCAGCCTTAGCGGGGAATATGTCCATTGGGCCACTCAAATTGTTCCCACTCTCGTGCGTGTCCATGAATGGCCCTGAAAAGTCCATCAGTATTAAGTTTTGGGTCACAAATTAGCTTTAGTAAGTAAAATTGAAAATAGGGACGTTACGAATGCTATGAATTGATAGTATTCTGAAAGAAGAAAAGTCTTGATTGGCATTGTTCATTCAGGCTGCTTGGATAAAATACCATGGGCTGGATAGCTTATCGACAATAGAATTTTATTTCTCATGTTCCAGAGGCTGAGGAGTCTGAGATCAGAGTGCCGGCCAGCACGGCTGAGTTGTGGTGAAGGCCTCTTCCAAGTTGCAGACTGCTGACTTCCCCCTGTGTCCACATATGTTGGAAGAGACAAACGAGCTCTCTCCGGCCTCTTTTATAGGGGCACTCACCGTATTCATGAGGGCCCCACTCTTATAAACTACTCACTTCAGAAAAGTCTCATCTCCTAACAGCACAACCTTGGAGGTTAAGTTTCAACATGTAAATTTGACAGGGACACAAATACCCTGAGCGTAGTTCATTCTGACCAGAGAATGGACTGAGAGAAAAGAGAGAAAGCAAATACTGCTCCTCCGTCTGGGGCTTGAGCACTTTTCTATGTTAGATCGTTAGCTTTACATCAAATTTAGATATCAAGGAGGTAGATGGACATAATAAGCTAGAGTTTAGGGCTGAGATGTAAGTTTGAGAGTACCAGCATATTGATGATATCTCAGCAACATAACTCATTTTTTAAATACAGTTTGTTAGTGAGAAAGGTGGAGTTTTAAATATGGAATCACAAGGATTCTGTGGACAGCAGTGACCAGAACTGGTGGGTTGAGGGTCCCTCCTGCTCATGGATTGCACAGGAAAGTCCAGAACAGGCCGCTGCCTCTCGTAGGCCAGGTACCAACAAGCATGGCTGTCTCCTTCAGTGAATTTGTGAACCCCCTGAGACCCTCCCCAAGACCTCACCCACCCCAGCCAACCTTTTGGCATCAAGGCCAGATCCTACCTCAGCAGTCCTTGAAACTTTGTGTTTGCAACTTTTATTGAGAACCACTCTGTTACATTGTAACTTTATGTGAACATATTTGTCCGTTAGATCAAACCAAAATGTGATCCTTGGCAAAAGAAGATGTTGACCAAACTCAAAGAACGGAAAAGAACAGATGCATTAATGCAACTCCAAGCGAAGTTTTTGAAGGTAAAAAAATAAATATGTTCTCTTATAGATACAATTTTTGCTAAAAAAATTATCTTAAAAAAATAAAAAAGAGGGCCAGGGATGTAGCTCAGCAGCACAGCACCTGCCTGACGAGTGTGAGGCCCTGAGTTCAACTCCAGGTACCAAAAAAAAAGGATTTCTCTCTTTTAAAAGTGTTAACATGAAGTCACTATGAAGACTTTATTTGGAACTTTCCAATCTAGTTGTCAGACTTTAAATGTCCTGTGAGCTTTCAGTTTAGAATCAAAAATGTCAATAGTGGCATTTTAGCCCAGCTTTAACACCAGGTCTTTGTGTGACGTTGGTCTAAGTCATGTAACCTCTTTGAGTCATACTTTACTCATCAGTGAAATAAAAATATTGGACTAATGATTTTTATTGTGGTTTTTAAAAAACCACAAAATCCACCATCTTAACCATTTTAAACATAGTTTAATAGTGTTAAATATATTTACATTATTGTGAATTCACATTCACAGATCCCCAGAACTTTTGCATCTTGCAAAACTGAAACTCCAGTCTATACTACACCCGTTAAACAACTCTCATTCCCTCAACCCTAGCTCTTGGAAACCACTATTTTTCTTTCTGTTTCTATGAATTTGACTACTTTATCATATATATATGATATGATCTGTCCTATAGATATCTATCATATGATAGATCATATCATATATATTACATAGATTATATCATATATATCATATGATTTGATCTATCATAAATATATATACATCATGTAACATATATATATATATATGATAGATCAAACCATACATATATGTATTTGTATTTGGCTTTTTTCACTCACATAATGTCTTCAAGTTTCAACCATGTTCAACCGTGTTAGAACACAGAATTCCTTCCTTCCTTGTTTAGGTTGATAATATTGCCTTCTAAGTGTACATTATGTTTGATTTATCCATTCATCTGTTGATTGATGTTTGTGTGGTTCCCACCTTGTAGTGACTGTGAATAATACTGTCATGAACATAGATGTGCAAATATCTCTTTGAGACCTTGCTTCCTTTTGAATATACACCCAGAGGGAAAATAGCTGGGTCATACGTTAATTTATTTTTAATACTTTTGAGGAAACTACATATGTCTGGGTAGCAGTTACACCATTTTACAAGCCTACCAGAGGTACAAAAGGTTCCAATTTTGCTCCGTCCTTGCCAACACTTGTTATTTTGTTTGTTTGTTTATTTTACAGTAGCCATCGTAATGGGTATGGGGTGATAGGCATTTCTCTGATGATTAGTGATGCTGAGAATTTTGTCATATGTTTGTTGACCATTTATGTATCTTCTTTAGGGATATGGCTATTCAAGTCCTTTGCTTGCTTGCTTGCTTATTTATTTATTTGGAGTATTTGATTTTTTGTGTGTTGTGCCATACTAGTCTTTTTAAGTAAATTCTGACTACTGATCAGTTATTGAATACATAATTAAGCAAAAATTCTCACATTCTATAGGTGGTATTTCCACTCCATTTATTATATCCTTTGATGCACACAAGTTTTTAAGTTTGATGTAGTCACATTTGTCAACTTTTGCTTTTGTTGCCTGGGCTTTTGATGTCAGAGCCAAAAATCACTGCCAAGGGGGCTGGGGATTTAGCACCCACCTGGCAAATGCAAGGTTGTGAGTTCGATTCCCAGTACCGGGAAAAAAAAAAATCATTGCCAAATCCAATGCCATAAAGCTTTCCCCTTACATTTTCTTCTAAGAGTGTTATAGTTTTAGGTGTTATGTTCAAGTCTTTAATCCACTCAGAATCAGTTTTTACCTATAGTGTAAGAATAAAACATTATTTTGCACATGGATAATCAGTCTTCCAAACAATATCTACTGAAGATACTGTCCTAGCTTCATTCAGCAATGTTAGCATCCTTGACTGCATTTCTAAGGATTTTTCTCTGTGCTTTTTATTCTGCTCCATTGACCTGTAGATCTGTCTTTATGCTAGTACCATACTTTTTGATTAGTACAACTTTACAAAACTATCTGAAATGGGGAAAACTGGGTCTTCAGCTTTGTTCTTTTTTTTTTTTTTTTTTGAAATTGTTTTGTATATCTGGGGATTCTTGAGATTCCATATGAATTTTAGGATGATTTTTTTTCTCTTCAGACAAAGTCTTGCTATATAGTTCAGGCTGACTTTGAACTTACTATGTAGCCCAGACTGTCCTCAAACTCATGGCAATCCTCCTGCCTCAGCCTCCCAAGTGCTGGGATTACAGTCATGATGGGATCACCATGCCTGCTTGGCAGGTGTTTTCTGTTGGCAGGAAGTACCTCTGCTACGTTGATACAAGTTGGAATGAATCCCTAACTTTGTGATGTTACAATTGTATAATAATGTGCATAACACTACAGCAGAAGTTCCAGCCTACGATTAGGCTGGAACCACACATTATTCAGTCCTGTAACTCCAGAAGAAAAGGGGCAGTTGTTCATCTCCCATTACATGCTAGGGATCTTTCAGCAATCTGAAGAGAAACAGTCCTAGTATTGTTGTGGATGTGCACTTCTGTGTGTGGAAAAGCCAGGGTTCCCAGGGAGCGATGACCCGAGCCTGTATCCTTAGGAAGCTTGGCCTCTCCCTGTGCTCCCAGCTCCTCCACCTCCCGGTGGGGTCCTCACGGTGCAGTGTGCTCCCAAAGCTGATGAGTGTGCATTGTTTTCCCTCTTGGAGGCCCCGTCTCATAGCGTCCTCCGGTTGTCACCAAACTTTAAATGAGCCGCTACATACATTTAAATACAGTGTTGAGTGGGTGAACACAGTTGAGTAATCATGAAGCTTGAGTCTTGCTTTGCTTCTTAGTTGAATGAAGCCCTATCAAGGGCTTCTCGTTCGTGTGCATGTGGTCCACGTCTTGCTGAGCAGGGAATAGTGGGTTTACCAACTACTCTCCCTCTCCGTTCTAAGATTTCTGACCCCAAGCGAGTAATGCAAGCGCTCCAGGATCATGCCGCGAAGACAAACACACCGAACCCCCATCGTCCACCTTTCATGACTCCCGGAGGTTTGCATCCTTGTGATTATGACAAAATCTGGGAGAATATTTATAGCAACATCAACCTCTACCAGGTAAGACATTAAGAAATAACCAAAATGCCTTTCTGTCCAGCCTGACACCTGTGAGCAGCCCTTAAAAATGTACTTCAAGAAAAGAAAGAATGTCCTTCGATAGCTTTCCTGTGACCTTCTCACCAAAAGCTCTACTACCAAGCCAGGGTTGTTTTCATTATAAGGGAGATTATGTGCTTACCAAAAAGAAGCACATAAAGAGGTGTAGTAGGACATAGACTGAAATGGATCAGCACTAATACAGAGCTTCACATCCTAATGCTAAACATGGTGAGCTGGACAGGTATTAAATGTGGACAGTATTTAGAGGAAAGCGGGTCCCACAGGAACCATTCTAGTGGAGAAAGCCACTCCAGGGAGAGGACATGGAGCTTGGCTTGAAGGAAGTGTAGGCTTAGACAGGCAGTGGAAAGAAGGTAGGTAGCACTTTGTAGGAGGGACAGCAAGGGTGATGACAAAGCTGGGTGTGGTGGTGCACGCCTGTAACCCCAGCACTCGGGTGACTGAGGCAGGAGGAGGATTGCTGTGAGTTCAAGGCCAGCCTGGGCTACATAGCGAGACCCTGTCTCAAAGAAAAAGAAAAGCAACAACAACAAAAAGCATGATGACAAAGCGGGGATATTGTAAGTGGTGAGTTCAAGTTCAGCTCAAGTGAGTGAAGATTCACGTGGGAATACAGTGCAGAGAAATCATGCTGTATTTGGGGAACAAGCAGCATAGGTGAATGAATACCTATAAATTCCACTGAGAAAAAGTGTGCTTTATCTTGCAAGGGCGGTGACATGTTATATATTAAATATACATCTATATGTATTTTTAAAAGAAGATTCACGCATCACTAGGATGTTAGATTAAAAGAGGGAGAGACTGGAGGTAAGGAAGCCAGGCAGCTGCCGCACAGGGTAGGCGTGGAGCCTGGCAGTTAAAGGAGTTTCTACACAAGCTAGTGAATATTTGTCTTTACAATGATGGAATGTGCTTTTGAAGCTGTAATTTCTATTATTTGTTTGTTGCTGTGAGGGAAGATTTTGCTTCATGTGCTTATTCGAAGGAGAAAACCTGAATGTATTCATAGTCTGAGAGAAGAAGAGATAGAAGAAAACGAAGGAGAAAACTGAGAAACAGATGATGCTTGGGGACGAGGAGAGGGTGGGAAGAAGAAATCAGGTGAAAGAGTAATTTGGAGGAAGGGAGGATGACAGCGTTCTTCTTGAAGTGAATAAGACATAGAATCTTCAGGTGCAAAAAGGCAGGATGCAGGTGACTGTGCCTGATGCTGAGACAGACAGGGAGACAGACAGACACAGAGACAGACAGACAGACAGACACAGACACAGGCCCAGGGAGACAGACAGAGAGGAGAGACATTTGTAGGTATTTTGAAGTCATTTATGGTAAACAGACCATAAAGAGGCTTAGAGTATCTGTATATTTTCAGATTCCAGATTCCAGAAAGGGGGCACAGACCCAGTCCTTGCCCCGAGAGCACTATGCAATAGATAAGCAAACAAGGAAGTAAACCTGTATCTCTACCTGGCGAGCACCAAGACGAAGACCAGGGGGAGGAGAAGGGAGGGCGCACAGAGGCGCCTCGGACAGGAGCCAGCGAAGTGGCTTGGGCGGGGCGGGGGTAGCATCTGAGCTGAAATTCAATGAAGGAGGTGAAGCCAGCCAAAAAACAGCCTAGGGGAAAGTTTTCCACGCAGAGAAGAGAAAATAGCACTGGGTTTAAGAAAGGAAAATTTGAAGTTATAAAACTATATTCTACTTGCCACGTTTCCCTGTGGGTGATCACCTGTGGCCTCTTCGGGGATTTCCATCACTTTTTGCCATTCTGAATGTCACTTGCCGGTCAGATGAGATTAGGACTGAGTAAATTTGTGGCAGCTGGGAGGAGTGACCGGCATGTGCACATGAATCTTACAGCTGTTATTAAGGTGCACGCAGCTAGCAGTCAGGTTCGAAATGTAGCGTCTGTCTGCGGGTCAGCATTCTGATTCTGAGGGTGGCAAATGGCTGCCAATATCCCATGGCAAATAATTTTTTAAGGGTCTGTTATGTAAAGGCAAACAAATCCCACAGGGCTGTCCATTCTGACAGCTGTGAGAGAATGTAGTCAATCTCTAATGGTTCTACGACGTCAGAACAGCTTCTGGCTGATCCTCAGTGAATGCTGTCCCCAGTAACCACTATTTAGGGCTTTTGTCTCTTAATAAAAATTTCGGTTTTTGCAGTTGGATATGTATAGAAAAGTTACAGAGTAATCCAGAGAGTTCCCATACATGCTTCCCTCAGCTTCTCCTGTAATTAACATCCTTTATTCCTGGGGCGCATTTGTCAGGCCCAAGGAAGCGATGTGGGTATGTGGCTGTGATCTCAACTCAACTTTATTTGGATCCCAACATCACATTCTCTTTCCAGCAAGGATGCTATCCGGGGCACCACAAGGCATTTAATGATCCTGTCTCCCCAGCCTCCTCTGGTCTGCGGTTGTTTCCCAGCTTTTCCTTGTTTCTGATGCCCTTGGCAGTCTTGAGGAGGTCTGGCCTGGGCGTTGTAGAGTTAATTAATTAATTTGAGTTTTTCTCATAGTTACACTGGGTTATGGGTTTAATTTAAAAAAAAATACCACAGAGGCAGAATATTCCTTGTCATCCCCTCATGCCAGGGGAACATAGTATCAGTGCAGCTCTGCTGGCTATGTTAATTTTATACATTTGGTTATTTGAATGGTGTTTGCGAGGTTTCTCCACTCTAGTTATCATTTTTTTCTCCTTATGGAATTCTTTTAAATTTATTTTATTTTATTTTATTTTTTGGCTTTTTTCTGGTACCGGGAATCAAACTCACAACGTTGCACTTGCCAGGCAGGCGCTGTGCTGCTGAGCTAAATCCCCAGCCCCTTAAATTTATTTTAAACTACAGCAGTAATAAATTCTACTGTGAGAGTTACAGAAAAGTTTCAAAGACAGTACAAACAGTTCCTGCACACCCCTCACCCTTGTTAAAAAAGTGCATACATAACTGAAAAGGTAAATTCCTCTTTGACTATCATATTGATACAGGACCTTCAGATTATATAGGGGAAATGAATGTAACTCCCAACCTGCTAGATGTCCAATATGGCAAGTTTCTGGTCCCAAAATTGAAGAATGAACTCTAGGGAACAACGGAGGTTAAGAGTAAGAAATTTTACTGAGGGAGAGATAGCTCCTGAGAGAGATGGAAGGAGACCCCATCTTCTGGAGGAAGTTTTATAGAGCAAAATTATGAAGTAGGAACAGAATCATGAGGTGGGTACAACATGGGAACAGAACTAAGATCAATCAATAAGGTTACAAATATAGCTGCTTAGTAATATCAGTCCAGTGGGGAAGCAGGTCACACAGCACGTGTACATGGGAAGAACAAAGAATTTTTCAAGAAGGGTTGGGTCCGGGGTCTTGGTCACCCACCAAGGTGACTGCTATCTGTTTAGATTTTATTGGACCAGGAGATACCACTTATCAGGCGTGCAGGCCTGGTCATTCCGTCTTTGAAGCCTGGCCTCCAACAGAGGCACCTCTGGCCGCAGTTGTAATGTGTTTTCATCTTCTACACGGACTCTTGAGGGCTGAGCCCTGTCTCACTGCCTATAATATTTCTACCTAATTCAGCTATCTATAGTAATATCTCCCAATAATGGTCCCCATTTCATCTCCTCAGAGGAGCACTATCATTGCTTCCAGATATCTTAGTAATTTATATATATATATATATATATCATGAATGGTGGAACACACCTCTAATCCCAGGTGGAGGCAGAGGTAGGATGATACAGGGAAAATATAACTTCCAAATGGTTAGATGTCAAATATGCTGAGCTTGTGATCTCACAACATTGAGGAATGAAATTGTCAACCAAAGGAGGAAGCTAGTAGAGTTTTAATGGAAATAAAGGGAAGAAAAATAGCTCCTGCATTTCCAGGAGGTCTCCCGAAAGGCTGGCCACCTAAGCTCTTCGTCAGGGGTGATTTATACAGCAAATCACTACGTGAGTGCAAGCACCTATGGGCTTACAAGTGCAGCCACTTTGCCAATATGGATCCAGTAGGGGAGTGAGTCAAGTAGCGACGGTGCATGGACAGAACAAGGGCTCTGGGGGAAGGGAGGGGAATGTGGGTTCGGATGTTCTTGCCCCACCTGTGCACCTGATGCAGCGCTACACTCACTGGACCAGGTGGTGCTGGTTACAGTTCAATCCCAAGTCGCTGTGTATCTTGCCAGCCTGGTGACTGCATCTCCGTCCTCAGACCTGGTTCTCTTCAAATTTGCTTCCAGCCTTAATTCTGATGTCTCTATTTCTTGTGCTGGCTTCTTTGAGGGCTCAGTCCCTCTCTAGCTGTACATTAATTTCTACCTAATTTAGCTGCCTATATATAATAAGAGGATCACAATTTCAAGCCCTGCCTGGGCAACTCAGTGATTTAGCTAGACCCTGTCTCAAAGCCTGAGTAGTAGCTCAGTGGGAAGACCCTGGGATCGGTTCCTAGTACTGGGGCTGGGGATGAGATATTTATATCATATGATTATATTATATATAATAATTTTGTGTATTAGTTTTCTATATAAATGATATGTCATACCATGTGGATACCCTGCAGTATTTTTTCCTGCAGCAGCATGTCTTGAAGACCTGCCTGGGCTGTGCTTCCTAACGACTATGTGCCTTTTTATTCTGTGTCACAGATTACACAGCAGCCCCCATGGCAAGTAGTGGCAATTTTTCTCCTACTAAAAGCCATGCCTGCTGACCTTTCTTGTACTTGTGTTTCTTTGGAGTAGACATTTGGAAATAGATTTTCTGGGTCACAGAATAGGCAAATATATTTCCATGGCTCCTGCCAAGGTGGCTATGCCATTTTCCCCAACAGAAGCTTCTGAGAGTCCCTGCTTCCCAAAATCCATTCTAATGCTGTATGCAATTGTCTGAACACTGATAATGTTGGTGTTATTTCTAT